ACCAGTGTTAACACGGTTTTAAGTGATGAGGCAGTCGTTGCCTATAGATGGAATCGTTACCTCGACGCACACATTGGGCCACGTGGTCACTAGTGTAAGAACTAGTCTGTTTATCCCCAAATACACTACACTTTCGAAACAGTCATGACAAAAATTAATTAACATGGCTCATTATTAGTTATGTCTACTTAGCCCACTTTACACTTCTTATTACAAACCTTAGATAGTTCTGCATTAGGTTATTACTCTGTGTTAATCTTGATTTCCTTGAGTCAAACCTTTTTTTCTAAACAAACTCTGCCCAAAAGACCAAGACTGATTCAAAAAATCAAGCGAACAAAGCATATAAAGATTCTACATTCTTACAAATATTGTCTTTTACTTGCTAGGACATCGAATACCGAATTCGCAACATAATTTACAGACCGATGTATCCCCAGGGCACCGCAGAGCCCTCGAGCAGGGATTAGGATGCCTAAAATGTTAGCAGAACCCGTCAAGACTTGGGTTTAAAGAAAGGCTGCGTGGTGTGATTAATTTTGTGCATAGAATGCAGAAGGCTGTGTCATAATTTATAACTACGAAACCTTCCAACACTCGTTATACGAATAGCAAAGATTTCTATATCCATGCTCATTCCAAAATCTTCAAAACAGCAATATCAATTGACTTTGGACTGACGGTTTGCGAATTTAACAAATTATGTCAAAACGCTAATTCGACTTCTTTTTAGTCGGATTTATCCAACTTTTAGCGGTGAATGTTGTATTATTTCAGAAGTTTTGAAATTAGTTGGATGGTCACGCAAATTACCAACACGCATACGCAACCGAAAAGCCATTTGCCACACTCGAAAACTGTCGTATTTAGGCAAGGGGTTTTTTGCTCCTAAGCACCTCACGAGTAACTTCTTTGGTCACCTTAAGATTAGAACCAAAGCACTTCAAGCTTAAAGCGTATGTGCAGCCCGAAATGACTGTGCTCATGCATTACACTAAACTTACAAGCGATTCAAGCATCTTTTTTCAATTTGCACCCGAATGCTTTGTGTTACCAACATTTCGAAAAATATGCATTTGGAAATAATCTACTTAATTTCGACTTTTTACTGTAATTTTTACGGTATTTTTGAGAGATTCTATTCGTGCAGTGTGAAATTGTTGCCATTAAGGCACCCTTTGTTGATCGCAATTCCAGTCGTGTGATTCTATCTATCAACTCACACCTCACCCTGCGTATCAATTGGAACAATACCGAAAGCGGCTCCGCAATTGTGGGTTGAAAGAGTCACTGAGGCGTGAAGCAGTCATGACAGCGTAATGGTTAGGAGGCGAAGGTCTTGAAGCTTCTATTTTCGGAAATAAATTTTGTATTTCGCCATGTGTTTAAAACTGTCGTATCAGTCTGGGTGATCTGACGCTGATTCTACCCCAGTTAAGTTTTTGAACGCTGTGTGCCATTTTATCCACTGCTGGGTTGTGAAAGTGCCGTAAATACACACACACACAAGCTTTTCTTCCGATAAACCTTTTGATCTGCCTGGATGTTGAGGTCTTTTGTGCGTGAACAATTGGGCCTTAGAAACGTGACTTTGTGACTGTGTGACCGTTTTCCTGTTTCCTGAAGGCTAGCCCAACTCCCCACTACCTGCCATCGGTATCGACAACAAACGCCAAGCTTAGATTATTTTTTACCACAGAATGTTATTCATCCGCAAAAAATCACACGTCAAGACGTGAGTCAGCACATCCGCCTCTAATCCAGCGTTCAAGGTAGCACTGGTTTGTCAATTCCTGCTTCGCTAAATATTAACCTCTTTTGCAGAGGCTCATGTTACTACGATTCAAAAATATGCCCTAGCCACATTATGTGACATTCGATGTTATGTCCTGGAAATTTTATTCATATGTGTTATATTGTTCTTTTTGCTAAATGTTATGTTTATGTGTTTTACCACTGTTTGATATGCCCTTTAAGCAAAGTCATTACCGTATGTATCGTGGGCTAACATTGAAACACACTTTTTAAAAGATAGCCATTGTAATCTCTGGTAAACTTGGAAAATTCTAGAAAGTATAAACACTGATAGTGCGATTTAAGGCTCCTTGATTCGTAGGGTCCATTCCGAGAGAAGAAGTCCCGAAAAGATATTATGAAAGGTTGGATGTCAGGCAATTCGGAAGTAATTTTAACCTTGAGAAGATGTTCTCAAGATATCACAACACGTAATTCCCTACTCTTCTATCAGCTATTTTCATCTTCGGGACATTGGGTAGCTCGAATTCATCCTAAAGGGGTTGGTGTCACTGCTGGCATTTCCAAGCCACTTTTTTATACCACTTGCAGGCCCATACCTGTGTTCTGCGCTGAAAATAACAGCCTTTCCAACTCCAATATTGGTTTCAGCAATGTGGCAGTACCGCGTGTCTCGAAAATACACTTTCGGAATATTAATGAATGTTCACGAAACAGTGGCTGATCTTCAGTTGTGCTGGCTTATCGATTCGGGCTTATCGATCGCCAGGAATTGGTTTCAATTTTACAGTCGAAAAGGAACGACTAGTATGACAGTTCTCCTAGTGTAACGGGATTGTCGCCACACCATGTCTGCCATCGGAGAGAAAGCTGTTGAGTCCTGGGTTTTGCGTCCTAACTAAGCATACATTTAGGCAGTACTGAATTATGGCAAAGTATTCGTTGCGGCATTTAATTAAACTAGATTGTGCAATGTTGGATTATGGCTGTTTTTGTGCCAGAGTCATCCCTTTTTGTTAGCCACTGATAGTTATTGCGAGGACCCCACAATTTTTTCATACAGTTGTGATCACACGCCTTTATTCATTTTCATACAATTGGCATTAGCGTAACACTCCACTATTTCTGTCGTTGCATTTGCCACCAATACTGCCTTTGTTTTTACGTATCTTTCCATCGCTTATCAACACAGAGCAATGCGATTTGACCAAGGTTAAGGTGTACGCAAGTTGACTGACTTTTCTGGGTGGGTTTTTAGTGAAATCCGCTCACCAGTCGTCGGTTTCAATTTAGTTCCCAGGAGGCGATTTTATAATTGGATGAAATTAGGTGCTGTATCATGTAATAAATTTCTGACGGCTGGTCCAATCAAAAACAAATACATATTTCACTTAGGCTAGTGTTTCAGCCTTTGGGTACCAAAACAAATTATCTTAACAAAATATACAATCAATTTGCTATATCCAAGCTGACAAATCCATGCTTTTCAACAGATGACAGCCTTAGATGCCTCCAATCAAACGAGCCTATTATGTTGGTTATATTAATTTTGCGGGGGAATCCTCTATTTGGCTTTCAATTTAACTGTCACCTCTTCCAAAAATTATTTTGTATGCTGACTACCCAATTTGTCATTACGAATTTTACAAAGAGCCATCAAAGTGGTGGAGCCGTAGAAGTCGTGAGCTGTTAAGCACGAAGTTTGAAACACTGACGCGCCTAAGTCCTAAGCATTTGGCACATTCATTTGCTCATACAAAACAATTGTGCTGTCTGTTGCCGCCTAAAACAAGAGTTTGGACAGCAGCTACAAACTGTGCGCTAGACAAATTCTTTCGCGTCTGCAAATAAATTTATGCGCGCGTTCACATTCAACGCTCTGGAAGCAAACAAGGTCGTGTTGTTTATTAGACTGGAAAAGGCTAACCAACGAGTTGGATTATAAAATCCCACAGTGACGTAGTGTAATCTTTTGTTTTTGACCAATCACAGTAGACTGCGATGTATAAAGCCACATCGTCATCGGTCGATTTCTGTTGTTTAAACCAAGTCCTCGTGGTCCTGCAAATCTGGTCGACTGTTTTTATTCGTGCATGTCATTATATTCATTAGTCCAGCATTCTCGTCTGCCTTCTTCTAATTGATTAAACTTTTCAAAAAAATTCCTGTTGGAAAATAGATACTCGTATTCACACAGGCTGACTTAATTTTTTTACGTAATAATGCATTAACTCCCATTTATATTTATATTTCCGCTTAGTGGGGTTCCATTTAAGAAAACCACATTTGCCTTTACCGTGATACTGAGCTCTCAAGTATTTTATGCAAACCAGGAATATGCTCCAATCAGTTTGCCTGCATTATTTTTCTAAATTTATCTTGATCACAAAACAATGTGTCAAAATGTTTCCAGGAATGTAGGACTTGTAACGAAGGACACTAGTGGAAGCATTTGTCCTCAAAAATAGTGACTGGAAGCTTATTTCTGGTTTGAAATTAATTAAAGAACATTGCTCACCAGTGCATGTGCACAATTTATTTGGCTACCAGGGAAAAAATATACAAATGAGACTGGGGGAGTATTTACGGTCATCTAACAATCTGGTTGCCTTCACGTGTGAGGGTTTTGCAAATCACTTAGCCCCGTTGATGGCTCAAGGGTGCAAATGGGACTGGTTATCTTTGACAATTTAAAAAAAAACATGAAATACTTTAGTGCATAAGATCCACCTTTGGTTTTGGCGTTTGTGTGGGCTACACAAGCTTCGAATATCGTCCGGTAAATAAAACCTTCGAGAAGATTCCAGGTGCAGTGGAACCAGCGTGTGCGGCCTGTCTTCACAGTGCCATGTCAGTTTTAAGCACTTTGCACAGTAACCAGAAAATTTATTTGCTTTCTCGTTCATTACCGGTCTGATCATATCTGTTCATTAGGAAACAAACAAACGCCACTAAGGCATTGAAAGTAAATACTGAATGTGCAATTGAAGTTCATCCAATTAGCGGTTGTACAAAAAACAATTCGACTGTTATTAAGATTCGCTGACAGATCATATGTGGCTATCACCTGAATATACCGAATAGTAGACTAGGTGACTTTATGTAAGTAGGAGGGTTAGTCCAATTGTAACCCTACTCTGACCATTCAATGTTATACAAAAGTCCTGCATCAGCATTGGCGAAGCATCCTCGTATTTCAATAACCTTACAACAACACGATTTCATACTTCTCGATTGCAACGTGAATGACCAGATGTCTGTACTACCTTGTCAAAGACTAATTTTGTCCTAGGAAGACTGCTTCCAGCCTCGTGATTAATTAACTTTTGACAACTGGTAAATGATTTTTGAAAATATTTGCGGAGACAAAATTTGTTTGAATGCCTGTTATAATGCATTTACATTAAGCTCCCAAGTAGCACGACTTGTACGAAAAGTTTGTCATTTTCATTTGGGTTTTCATTCTTAGACCGACTACCGGACGTTCCAGGTGCCTGGAAGGAGAAGGAGCTGTTGCGGGACCTTCTACACGACTATGAGAAAAAGGCTCGTCCCGTTGTCGACGGGGTCTCGCCAATCGCTCAACTCTCGGAGACACTTTCCGTGCAGCAAATCACCATCGAGTTTGGGCTCTCCCTCATTCAGATCCTCGAACTGGACGAAAACGAACAGGTTCTCACTACTAGCATCCGAACACTTTATGTATGTTTCCACTAAAGTTTCTCGCATTAAGTATTCAATTTTAGAGAGCATTTCATAGGAGAATAACAGATGTTGACCAGATTTTATCACTAATTTTGCGTAAACACAGTGTTCGAAAAAAAACAGCTGCCTTTATTGTCTCTGTCCTTGGCTTAAAGCACGGCTGATCTAGACTGCCCACTGTGGGTGGCTTAAAACTCAAAATGCGTTTTTTTCTCCGCTCAATGATGCAGATAGAGTGGACTTAAAGGTCTCTTGCAAGCTAAGTGAATATTTTACATTTTGAATGGAATTTTTCTGAAATAACTCTCTTGGTATGTGGAAGTTTCCCCAAATAAATCCAGCTGAAATTCGCCCGATTTTCCACAGTATTTGCCCCCTCGTTACACTGAGAGTGGATCAAATTAGAGGTAATCGCATGGGCATCGATTACAGCCCTCGACTCTTAATTCGGTAAGCAAGAAAGTGGATCGTCACTAGATGGCTATCGAAAACAGGGGGAGTCTGCATTATCTGTCCTCTTCCATTCCCCTAATTTCTTACCCTTGCCCTGGGCTGGATGCCGTCGGCAATGAACAGCCAGTTTCGGTGGGCCTGTATCCAATTCCACGCCCCTGCTCACTTTCCTTTTCCAAGTCATGCTATAAAATTGTGTCTGCGGGGAAAACAAACATTACTTTCAGTACAAAGATCAAAAGCGGAACGGGAACTTGTACTCCTGACCAATTCTAGCTAGTCTCCCTGTTGAACTTAATTATTGACGATTGGAATTTCATCTCATCAGGAATTTTATGCAACAGCGAACCATCTTAAGGGGAAGAATCGCGTGTGCCTCCAATTAATTGATGTGCACACTGATGGTTGGGTGGAGCTGAAATGACTGTCACCCTTTCGGGACATGTTTCTCCGCTTGTTTCCGAACTGACATCTGTTATTCACATGTTTAGTCAGCGGCGGGTTCACAAGTGTCTAGGTGGTGCCAACCGAGGCAGTTGTTGAAATACCCTAACTGCTTGAATTGGTTTAACTTTTTTCACAACTAATTACGCAGTCGATGAGTTACTTTTTATCCCATTACTCGACAAAGTTGCGGGTAATTATTTGCGTTGCTCATGAGTCTGTCCGAATAGCAAAGTCGAGGAAAAATCCAACTGCCATGTCGTGAGTGATGGTTTGCTGGACTACTATTTGCAGTCGCCCAAATATTGCGTAGCTGTGTGCTTTGCTTTACCTCATCAGGATGTAGTTTTTGCCCCGCTAAGCCATTCTCGATACATTGAAGTTAGATTTCGTCAAATTCCCAGTTTAAAGTTTATTTTGTAACCCTAAAACGCGCATATTAACCTTAAGTGACCAAAGATAAATTTTCTTTAAATAGCAATTACACATCTACCTGTCTCTATCCTCCAATCATCTTTGGTTTAAAACCTCACTTGAGGTGTTCAAATCCTGCTGAGGTGACTGTGTAAGTGGGATTGTTTTGCGCAAGCTGAAATATGCACGAGATGGGAACTTTAGTCTGAGTATATGAATGCAATGTAGACTCTAATACGTTGTAAATATTTCCATTGCATTCAGAGATGGAAAGACTACCACATGGTTTGGGATCCGGCAGAGTATGGAAACATCACATCGGTCCAAATGCCAACCTCAAAACTCTGGCTTCCTGATATAGCCTTATACAACTAGTAAGTCTGAGCAAAGTGTGTTATCAAATGTCTTAGATTAGTTATTTATACTATGTCTCTGACACATCGCCATACTTTTAGTTCATGAAAACACAAGTTACCTTAGTCAAGGTCGGAGGTGACACTGATTTTCACTTCTAAAATGCTTCCCCAGTATCGATCAAAATTTCAACTTCGCCTATTTGGTTTTGGAGCCTTTCCATTTAAGCTCATCACCATTTATGACACGCCATACTATAAACTGCTTTCCTCGTAAAGCTTATCTTACAAATTCGACCGCGCTCTTGTTTGCATCGTGGTCTGTTATACGAGTGCCGAAAGCAAACTTTTTAAGAAAGCTTCTTTTAAAGATGAAAGGCACAGCATTGATATTTTTACTCCGTGCTATGTTAGCAGAACTTTGGAGAAATTCGTATCCAGAAGCGATCTTTTTACAACCTACTAGTTTGTTTATGGCGAAAGTTTCAATCACCACATTCTTTATAGTTCGTCATTTTACGCACACTTCAGCCTTCACACTAACGTCTTGAAATCTCATTTTCAATTTATTCTGGTTTTCATCTTGTTTGACATCGAACGAAGCAAATTAATGACCTGTTTTAAGTGGAAATAGGTCATCCTGAAGGAACCGAAGGTCAAGCCTATTGATTCTTGAAATTCCAAATTGTTTGCACTTGGGAAAGCGCTAAAGTGCAAGTTATTGTGGGATTAGAAATCAATTTTGAGCAAATTATCGCAAACTGAGGGAAGAAGAGTGGACAGTGTGATGTGCTCGGTATACATGGCAGTGTTAGTTTATCAAGCTGCTTTTAGGGATGACGACTCCTGTATTTCCAATACATTTAACTGATCACGCACCTCACCACAGGTGGATAGCCAGCTGCTTTGTTATGCTGGCTTTGATAAATCCAATTGCCCTTATTACTTCACTTGGACCCAGAAATGCCAGTAAAGATTGAAGCCATGAAACTCTTGCTTATCACGATGTTTATGTTCTTTGGTGATAAAACCACTAATTACTGCTAATTTTCCTTTGTTTTTTTCTTATGCATCGCTTCTATTTGAAGCTCCTACGTGACCGTGTGGGTTGTGGTAAATAGTCTCAAATAGAAAGTCAACAGTCAGCAAAATTTCAATTTAGTCGCCATTGGTTTGAGGCGTTGAGTTTCCCGTCGCCACTAGGGTTCCTCTTTTTACTTGCTTTAAAGCCAATCCTAGACACAGTATCTCACGGAGTACGCGACTACCCAATTAATCTTGATTAATCTGCATTTTCCTGTTTTGGTCGTGTTTGGCTACCCTTTATACAGTGCTACCGATGACTTTTAAAACGGCATTTAGACGTTCCGCAGAGAGTATGATAACATGAGTGCGTAATAGTTAATTAATTTGAAGCTCCCTTTTGGGAGTTGTGATAAGAGTGTTTGTTTTTGTAAAGTGATATTATAAACCACTGTGTTGACGACTGGTTAATTTGCTTCATATTTGTTTTCTGTCCTTTTTTCAGAATCCCATTTCCTAACGTTGGCTTTCCAAATCGCCATACTTTAAATTTTGGCATTTTTTATGGTGTGAATAAAACACATGGGTGTCAATGAGAGTTTCAAGGTTGAGTCGTCTAGCCGTTATTAGCCACGTGTATACTTGTAAACGAGTTAATTTATTGACAAATGCTGTAACTCAGTGTTACAAAGCCGAATAATCCGAGACTGAAAAAAATGTTGGTACATATACTCAAACGCTATTTGAGCAAAATCGTTACAGCAGTCGGTACTTTGGTAGCTTTTAAGCACAACACATGACTTCTCGATAAAGTTACTCATTTATAAGCATGTTAAGGGGTTTTGTCGCCGATAATTTGTGAAGTCTGTGGCAGGCAGCAAGCAAACACAGCAATCGGGAGATAAAGCTAGTGACAAGCGTGAGTGAACATTGTTCAATTGATTTGCGTGAATACGCCTCGCGTAAATGTGTTCGTTCAGAGATCGGTGTTTAGCCGATCCTACATAACCTAACTTGCTCTCTTATATAACACACACCACTGCTGCTTTAATAAAGTAGTTGAGCGACTCACCGTCTGCATTTTCTGACTCCTTCTTTCGGTCGGGCCTTGTCAGGTAAATTGCCGGCTCTGGTGAGGTTCCCAAAATCGCACTGGGGTCCGCTACAAGTCTAACAGGATTTCTCTTGGTGACATTATGCGGTAGCTCAATAAACATGTGATTCAAAATGTACCCTAGGTTAAAAATTCGGTGTTGATTTTAGTGAACAAATGTGTCAGATAGCGCAGCAGCTGATTTTAGGCATTTGGTCAGTAAAAATTCCTAAGCGTTAACTGAGAAAGATGCCGTTAGAGTTTGCATGACGCACGCATACTGAGGCCGAATGTTTGGCCTGACACTTTTAGTGTGTTTTGGCAGTTTCCAGGGGCAGCGTCTGCTGGCCGATCAAAGAAGTGCACCCATATCTTTCTATTTTTCTTTACCGCTCCGAAACTAATTTTAAGTGGAATTACAAAGGGTACGGGGATAGTTTTAACGACCACATGCTGCCATTGGAGACTTGGATTACAAGTTGACTGAGCTGCTTAACATGTATGAGTTTGTTGACATTGACTGATTGTTATTCGCTTCTATCTATACATACTCTTTTTTGTAATTCCGATAGATTAGCTCAACCCAAGTTGACTCCTCGTACGGTGGTTTTTTTGTGCTTACTAAGTAGACGCTTGGGAATAATAAGTACGTGACAAGAAGCACACCAGGCACATCTATTCAACTGTTCAAATTAGCACCTCAAAGAACTGCTTCAATTTCTAGATAGCTTGTTGTTTTATAAGTTGATTTTGTAAAAATCTTTACAAGAATCCACAAGACCTTAAAGTGTGTGATATCAGTGTTGCGATCTCTATTTTCAATTTAGTGTGTTTCACAGATCAAGTTTTGTAGATTCTGTTCTGTTCGATGAATAAATAACCACCAGATTGTTGCTCTTTCTTTCGTACTTCTTCGTGACTTCTAGCGCCGACGAGCGATTAGAAGAGCGGCGACACTCGGACTTGCTGGTTTCATACACGGGGACAGTGGAATGGCAGCCGCAGGCCATCTACAAAAGTGCCTGTTTTGTCCACATCAAGTACTTTCCTTTTGATCAGCAAAATTGTACTTTCAAATTCGGACCCTGGACCTACGACGCGTGAGTCATCCTTTACGCATCGCCTTTGTTGTTCTCATCCTCGCTTTGCACCCGTGGGGGGCATTGCATGAGCATTGCATTGGGAGCTAGAGCCAGTAAACCAGTTTGGCTTCCAGCACGCTTTGCACACACAAGAATTAACCGCTTGAGTGCTGGACCGCTTAACCAGGCTTTAAACCTTCAAGATGACAATTTAAACCCCCTTGCAAACGTGGTAGACTTTAGTCAGAGCGCGACTTTGAGAGAACTTTTGTAATTTCTACATATTGAGTGCGCATCTCCGTGTTAGTCTCAGATTCCTTCACACACGACCACCGTTTTGTGTGTCTGAATCAGTGAAACGGCGGTCATTCAGCTTCTAGTATATTTTGCATGAATTTCTACATGTCAAGCCAATGCGGGCGTCTCAGCTCTTGGACGCTGATTCATACAAATAAGTACTTAAAATCAATTTATTTTAAAAATTTACGATGGACAGTGTCACACATGTAACGCTCTGTAGACATTTTGTGACCTAAAACACATTTAAACCTTCAACAATAATTGAACACTTACATAGTAAATGTGCTATCACTTTGCTATTCATGGAATGTTGTGCAAACGATGACTGGTAGCTCGTTCTCCAGCCCGGTTACCTTAATTCCTGTCTGTCACGTCGGTGAACATGCAAAAACTATCATGTGCAAACCATTAGGGAATTAAAATGCGTTCTTTTTCTAAATTGAATTTAGGAAACTCCGGCAGCGGCATCAATTAAAATCCACTATCAATGCACCCTTTTCTCCACTCATTGCCAAGACGTAACGTCAGTTTTTATCCCATGTGATACCCATGGGAGGGGGTGAAAGCATCCCGACATGGTGACAAGTCTCGGTGCTAGGTTATATTTTTGCTCCGTGAACCGTCAACTAGGCCAGCTAATTGTGTGCAGCCAAAGCTTGTAAGCAAGAATTGTGAACGCCTTTCGATTGGCTACCAATTTTGTCGATGTTGAATGTCGTTATTTCACGACAGCAATCACGGTTGATAAATGACCGGACAAAATGCCTCCAAATCTCCTGATCCCCATGTGAGTCAATATACCACGCGCCTGTGGGCACCCATTCTGCTTCTCTGCTGAACCACAATGTTACCCCACGATTGGCATCGATCCATAAAGATGCGGGAACCTACACGAAGCACGACAGCGGTCTCAGCGACTCACTAAACGGGCGATCCACTGTCGCCGTTGGTCATGTCATGATTTTCCGGACACTTTCTATCTTATCAAGCCTCAACAAGTGAACTTATAAAGGGAAATGCAATAGTGATATGGTGATCCTGAAAAACGCCTATGCAAGGAAAATAAATACGCGTTCAAATGATAAATTGGCATTTATCGTACGTTCGTGGTGGTTTTGTTAGTCAGCCCACGCAAAGTAGGTTACTATGCTGTCCTTTTTTCTGTCTTCATTTAAAGTTAAATATCATGGCCCAAATATTCAACTCAAATTTGTTCCAGGTACTCCAAGGAGTCAAATATGATATTTTAAAGAAATTGTCACAGTTGCTTCTATTATAAACTGACGACATAGAATGAGTTCTAAAACAAGAAGACTGCCAGCGCATTTCTTTTTTGGCTTAGAGAGGTAAATAACTATAATTATTTCTTCGTCACCACGAGTTTTCAACGATTTCCTCGATGTCGCGCATCCCCGCTATACTGATTTTTTGCGGTAGAGTTCAATTATCCATTCTGGTGTAAATCATTCTAGTGAGTGTTGGAAAATTGTTACTGCTGTTGCTGTACTACGTAAGCACCATGCAATACAAATCGCCTGGATTGCAGGACTTCATCGTCTAGGTGGAGATATGAAATACAAGTTTAGCGCTCTCGTCGGCCATTCCCAAATGTAAGCTAACTTGAGCACAAAAGGACCAGCGGAAGTGGAGGTGGAGAATCCATCCACAGAATTCAAAAAGCTACTTTGTGCACGCCTCCGGAGCTGGCCTGGCTTGGGCCAATCGGGGCGTTCACGTGGGCCATCTGCATTCACACGTAGGCGCACGAGATTGGCCACGTGGGCAGGCGCTAGTGCCTGCGGTGAACGGAAGTGTGAGCCGCGATTACGCGGTCTTTTCAAACTGGGTGCGGGAGGTTTTTTTGTAAAAAATGCACTTTCCAAAAATAGTCCCTTAGGAAAAATGTTGGATAAAAATCTCCAAAAATTTATACCGGATCTGTTTCAAAAGTGCAGTTCACAGTGCACAGTTGTTAGAGTTCTTGGGTTTTATCGTCGTGCGTCCTAGACCAGGTGATGCACCCATCATCATTTGATCCACGTTGACTTTGCACAATAAAGGAAACTCCGAGTATGGATTAGTCTGTCTTAGAGGACTCAACTTTTGGTCAAACATCATAATCAAGTATGCCATGATCGTCCCAGTTTCAACTGCCCTTCAGCCTGTAAAGTACCGCCTTCACTCAGTCCACGAAGCTTCAGCATTGTTCAGATGGCTGCCCGTTCGAGTCAAAGCAGCTCACTACGCATGCAATACTTCCATGATTTAATGCCCAACAGGACCAGATAAACTCACCTAACCAGAACTCTAGCAATGCCATCTTCATTTTTGCACTTTCTGCAAAGCTGGCAGAGCCATCAATTTGTTGCTAGTGCTTCTCGTGGCTATCCAGGCTCAACACGACAATGTGCAGGGCTTGAAACTGTTTCTACACGTTCTATTTTAGTATAGTAAACATCTCCGGTATGAGTATAGCCGTGTCTGGCACAAACAGTAACATGCGTCATAAGGAGGAGGAGGACTTGTTAGATCAACACCCCGTGCCATGAACTAATTTCAGCAAAACCCTAATTTGTTGTTGCTTTCGTGGCTACAAATCTAAATTGCGCAAGTAACTTAAATGCATATCGTGTCGAACCCGGAATTCCCCATTATACTGTTGCCATTTAAGTGCTCGGACGAACATAACCTTCTACAACAACTCGGATGGGTGGTTTTTGAATGATTACGAGGAGAGTCCGGAGTGGGAACTATTGGCTACGAAGGCTGTTTTCACGGGTTTTAAATACCAGTGCTGCTTCGAAGTCTATCCTGACATTACTTTTCAAATGGTAATCAAGCGACAGCCAGCCTTCTACAACTACGTCGTCATTCTACCCTGCTTCCTCCTCTCCTCACTCACACTTGTCCTCTTCTGTCTCCCCGCTGAAACACCCGCTAAGATGCAGCTCGGTAAGCCGCATTCTAAATCAGTTAATTTAATTTCATGTTTTCGCAGGTGCTTTGCGCCCATTCAGGAAGAGGGCAAGAAACCGTCAGATAGGTGATTTAATATCTTTGAGGTCTGCTGAGTCCAGGTCCATTAAAATTGGAAACACAAGAATTAGAATAGATGCGATCATTCAAACTTAATCAAGAGCAACCTTACAGAACTAATTATGAGCACTTTTGAGAGGCGAGATACATCGACAATCTAATCAGCTATAAACAGGCAGCTCTGAAAAAAACGGTATTTATACCAGCGTATTTAAAATAGCCCAGTAATTAAATGCAAACACGCACGCGAGTGTCTCTTAATTAGTGCGAGTCAAAAGCCAGGCCTGCGTTGCTGTTTTCACTGTGTGCGTTTGATACAGATTCCAACTCAGATGCGTATTAACTCCATGAATGAGTGTAGGTTTGTGTTCATAGTAACTGCAATTGATGTCCACTTGTCACCCAATCATCCTGTGGATTGCAAATCCTGCAAATCTCAATTTGTAACAAATTTCAATTACTGAGTCGTCGTAAATTCCAATGTTCGCCCTGTGTTCCCACCAAATGAGCTATTTCACATTTATCCGCAGTGCAAAACAATCTACTTTGGTTGATTTTGCTAAGATAGCACAGACGCACTTTTCAAAGTGGGTAGTGTATCGAATTAGGGTAACAGCATTTATGCTCAAAGAGTTATGCCAAACTACCAACCAATTACTGAGCGATAATTTTTTGGATTATTCATTATTGGACAATATTTTCTTCCACCAATGTGGTGTAAGCAAACGACGTTAGAATTTGCGAACAAAGCTTCTATTTATGATCTGTTTACACAGATCAGTTAATGTTTTGTTTCTTCTTCGGTGTTGAGATAAAGTGGGCCAAGGTTTCTAGGCATTTGCACGCTCGATAATTAATACAACCACCTTTTGGAACAGATTCTGGGAAGCGTTTGTTGTTACAGGTGGAAAATGTCCTTGTTCTAACACCAGTTTGGTCATTTCGTTAGCAACGCCAGACGAAATTTCGTATTCCAAAGTAGCTTTTGACCAAAATGCGTCTTATGAGGAGCCTGCGTGTCTATTCTCATGTTTCTATCTTTTTACGGGTCGTCGACGCGGAATTTTCTTTGAAATGCGACTGTACTATTTCGCGAAACCATTATTTTACCACACGTACACCCAACAAATTTGATTCTATGAGTTAATACCTATTCGGTATCAAGGTCAAAATTTTAGCGAATCCACTTGTTCCGTTACATCCTGAATATGGTTTCACGAAACATTCCTGACTACACTTTGATTCACATGTAAATTTTTTTCGGGTTCTGAAAACGAACATCTTGATTTAAGATCTCTGATTTTGGTCCGTTATTGTGACTCCTAGGCTTTTGTATTGTTTCTTTTCGTCCTTGCTTTGCCCATCTTTCACGATTTCCAAATCCAAGGTAATTTGTCTTCTGAGGGCCGACACTTTTTCTCCCTTTCTTTTTATTGCCCCCTCTCAAATCCACAATTCAATTTGCATAATTCGCCTTTCGCGAGAAATCCAGAACAACCAAAAATTACTGCATGAGTCAGTCGACGATCCTTCGTGAAGAAACCGAATGTCTTTTAATGGCTAAAATTCGATGCACAGTGAACATAAGTATGTAAAATTGTTCTTTCTAGTATCCTGAAAATTGTTTCTCTAATAACGTCTTGTGCCGAATGTACTCTTGCAGTCTTCTTCAAAGTGTTTGTGTGAAGCAGAAGTTTAATAATGAGACAAGATTCCCAGAGCATCATAAAACCAAAATTTTAGGTGCATGTACTCAAGCAGGCAAAGTTTTTATAGACAAAACCTGTATACTTAGTGCTCAATGCATGAATTAAAGCCGAAGAAAAACCGAAATTTTCTTCGATGCCGGTTACTTTACAGGCCTTTGTAAGGATAAATTATCTTGATATTGGTATAATCAAATAAAATTAGCAATCTTACTAATCCAATTTAAGTTTACATAAATGCTCCATCCAAAGAGATTTAACCTCATTGAATATCTAGACATTAAGCAAAATGACACAAAACAACAGCGGTTAGTAAAAATATAAGTTTAGGTGCGACTACAAGAATATAAACCCTGAACAGAACTTATCAGACCCCACAAGACCAAAGTTTTATTTTCCCCCTTATCATATAAAGTCAAAAACGCATTTCGCAATTGAAAGCTAGAAATTTGCGGAAGCACAGCACTCCGTTGTGTTGTTGCAGGAATGCACATCGGACACACCTGACGCAATATTGCAAAAGCATCGTAAGACCTTACAGTACTACGCGATGTTGGGTCCGGTTGAGGGTCTTAGACCTGTCAAGGAATAACAGAACAAATAGCCTTGATAAAGCGGTGTGGTAAACAGGAACTTCATCTATAAACTGTCGATGGTACGCAAATAATAGTTGACGACAGCGTAGCATTGGTCTAATTTTGTTAATATCAACCGAGCACACACTCAGCTTCAGTGATTTGAATCAATGTGGCCTCTCAGGCCTAGCCCACCACAAACAAGGTTTCAGCCTTCCTCTCTGATAGTTCAGAGAAAAAATTACGTGTGGCTCGAAGGCGGGAATCATTTTGTCTGTTTGAAAGCGAATCTTATTACACAAATCAGTAAATCATCCCTACACAAAAGCTTTGTATGTTACAGGGGACAGTGCTGTTTACTTTTTTATCTGTTCACGAATAAACAGACAGGTAAAGATTGAGATGCATTTATTCCAAAAATAGATCATGCCACCATCTTGATAACCATAAAGTAAGGCAAAGATACAATGCGGAAACTCTCTGTAGCACAATGGCTACAATTTGGATTTTTTCCAGGCTAGTTTGGTGTCAACTCATGGAATAAGAGGCAATGATTAGGGTAACGCCGAATCGACTTTAAACAATATAACTTTGTTGCAGCTTACTCAAGTGGAGTTTGATGTGAAATACGACAGCTTTGTAAATTTCAGTGATGTCAATATTGTTTCTACTGTTGGAATACTATCATTGATCTGTGGGAATGTTCTGTGACTACATTGATGAATGAATGAGGACCTAGCGCAAAGCTCAGTTGCCTCGATCTGCCTTCTCCCCAAATTGTGCATATTTCTAATTCCATATAGCAAAAAATAGTACTATCACTAAATGAATAAAGATATTTTTAGAAAATGGATCGATTTTTATAGGTAACCGATTGTTTGATGAGTGTGAGATGAGCAAGACAAGTCTACTAACTTCAGTGCCTGAATCTGAACAAAAGACAACCCGCCAAAATCATACTAATTAGATCAATCGATAGGATTTTGACAATGAAGATTTCAATTTTTGTGCATAACCACTAGTAAAATCGATCGCTGAAAGGGTTAAACTCTGTAATACCTTGTCTACCGTTGACTCGGTGGGTTAAGTTTGTTTCAAGGACAAATCTTAACCGCACGTATTATTCAAATTATGTCCCATATAACAAGGTAAAGTTACTTGTCATTTGCGTGGTGGAGTCTTAGGGAGTTCTTTGGTTGTATGTAGTGTGTGCTAAGTCCGACAGATTCTCTTTTGACTTGTGCACAGAGGCGAACTTGTAGCTAAACCAATTGAACAAATTTCATGCCGAACCACAAACAACAAAACAGTAGAACCACACTGACAACTTGGTTATCACGCAACTAATAAGGCTGTAACAGCAAATAGCAAAACTTTTCTTGGCCTCAAAAAATGGCCCGACCCCATCCCTCGCCTCTTCCCCATCTCGCCTGATACAAGTGGTTTGCAGAGTGGGGAGAGTGTTGCCACTCCCCAACTTTTTAGAGCAACAGATGAACGCGTGCGCGTGAACTGGAAAGTTGACTACGACTCATTGCAGTTATTGGGCGGTGGGGTGGCGTGGGTTCAACCCTTGAAGAGCCTCACGTGAACCACTAGAGCTCTTGGTGTTCGCTCTTTATGGGATTATAACTTACCACCACCGGCATCCTGAGTTAACTCAACAGAGTTGCAGTCACTCGATTACAAAAAACAATCTTAAAAGCAACTGAAAGATGCAGATCATGTTGGAAATGGAGCTTCCAGATTTCCCATTGATTCGTTGCAAAGGATTAGCTATGCATAGTTATTTTGCCCTTGTTAAATTTACAGATGCCGAACCTAGCCTCGCACACACAGCCAAATTCTTAAGGAATCTCAACGCGTCATCATTAACAAAAAATCCAAATCGAGATCAAAATATACAGGTAGCATATAGCGATTCCTAGCTTGTCCAAAAAGCGCTTTCTAATTTTACGCACCCAACACCATTCAGTTTAGCCTGCTATTCTTCAATTAGTGATTCCGGCATTAGTCAATGCTGTGCTCTCTAGATTTCTCCTCTTATAACTATTATGTATGTTGGTCTTTGTATTTGAAGTGATCGTCACCTTTCTTGGTCAAAATAAAGTTAAATATGGCTACGAAAACACGGATGTATGTGGGTACTTAGAAAAGTTAGTTGATTTGGGGATTTGCACTTAATCCAAAATGTTTTCAAATCACAATTACATCATCATTAACGGTATCATTTGACACGCTAAAACCTGTAGAATCAGACTCTGATTTCTTGAAATTTTTATAATATTTAACTGTGTAATTTTGTGTCAGATCTTGTTCTGCTTCCATTATAGAGGAGGGTGACTGGTCATGATATCAATTCGTACTGAGATAGCTTTTGATCAATTCTAATTCGTGTTCTCTTCTCTGGGATCCAACCCTCCCCCAGGTTCTTCGTCCCCTACATTGAACTTGGCAATGCCAGCAAACCGGTTCACTCACCCCGATGTTCACGTCGCCAAGTTACTAATTTTACCCGTTTATTTCCTAACCTATGAGCAATCCAAGCCAAAAGCAAGGTATTACTGGATATCTTGAGGCATAAAATCCCACAATGTAGTGAGGACCCATCTTCATTTAACTAGAAAATTTGTGGCCATTAGCAGACCCCATTTATCACATTAAATACTGAGAGCGACGGCTTCGCGAGACAGCAAAACGTAACCCTCGAGTAAGTCATAACTCACTGTGAGTTTACCATCCTCTGTGTTTGGTGATTAATGATCATTTATGGCCCATGCTAAACAACTTTACATTCCCCACGAAGTAATGTTGCAATCAATAATTCTACAATGTTTCATCCGATGAAACGTTAAATCACGTACCCAAAGTTGTCATCATTGGCATTAAAGTTTGTGTTGATCACCCAACCATCTAAACACACGATCATGTGAACGTACGCTTGTGCTGTCGTTTTGTCTCATCCGTGTGCAAACTCGGCGGTGGTTGGTGAAGACACGTGGTGCCAGCCAAGATGAAGGAAGGACCGGAGTCAGTATTATATCACTTTGTACTGTGGTTAGTTTAACTTAAGGACTTTTAACTCATGGCTAACAATAAGAAATTACAAAACGTTCTGATACTATCTAGTGTGAGGACACCGATCACTAGCAACATATGCAAGAGCTGATTAATCATGCGTTATTTAGAAAATGGCCTTTAGACAGGACGATTTCGAAAACGAAGTTGTGCCATTTATTTTTCTGATAAGAGTGCTAAGTTAATATAAAGGCATCTTTGACCAATATGACTATTGCACGTTGCTTGATTCTAAGGGCAATAATTAAATCTACCGGGTAGAATTAAATTTACGTCGACCGCTTGCTGCAAATATTCGAAAACCGTACCTTAATTATAGGATTAATTACGTCTTATTCTACATTTGTTTACCGCCTATTTTGGTTTAGTGTTGAGCTCGACAACTCACGTGTTCATGCCTTTTAACCGAGAGTCATTTTGTTGTGATATAAAGAATTCTACAAAAAAGGGGGTTTAGCAAGTTCGACTGTAAGTCATGCATTTATGTGTAAGGGAACAGGGGTCTGTCCAAATTCCTGCTTGATGCCTTAACATGCACCAAAAACACTCAATGATTTCAAATGAAGCGGGCTTCTCCAAGCCGTTTCCTAAAACCTTGCTGTTTCAAAAACCAATTAAACACGAATGCATAAATGGATACAACTTGAATACCTAAGCATCGGCGTCCATGTCATACTCAAACTGTTGTGTGATCCACGAGTTATACATACATTTGATGGTCGCAGTGATTTTACGGCCTCGACTAATGGGGACATTATTGGTCGAGGAACTATGAGGTCTCACCTGCATTGACAGTCAACATGCTGATTGCTAATCGCTCGGAACTTCCTGAGTTGTCTGCAAGGCAGGTGTCAACATCGGTGAATAGGGGTAACATGCTTCAGAGACTTTAAATCGCCGACTCGCTACTAAACAAAAATCAAGTCACCTCCAAAGAGCGGTTTGATTGCACTGTCCTGACTGGGGCGGAGGCATAGGTCCCGAGACCGAAATGTTACCAACAGGATGGCTTGCATGAGGACATTTTAGGTCTGAAGATTCTATTTGCAGGTGCCCGCTTAAAAATGCTATGGGGAACGGTGCTTGTATGCAAAAGTATTTTTGCGGTAGCATTTTGTGGGAAAATATTTTAGTCACTGTAGCTGGTTGATTTGCAATATTATGGAAAATGAAAGCTATTACCAGGAAACAGTGGCTCTGGGAGCTCCCTTAGCCCCCCACCATCCTACCGTAGCGTTATTGTTTACACTGACGTAGGTAATAGCTAGTGTCTCTGATTCGTACATGTTCCTTCTTTTGTATATCTATCATTAATGTTAATGTGCAAAGTTTAATTGCCGTTTATTCATTCAAAACAAATGACTACGCCTAACTCCAAACTGAAAGGTTTCATGCATTCAATTAGCTTCAGAATATAACTCTTTTACTTTTTGAATCGCACGTGGGAGCGAAATAAATGTGTTATTTTCGTGGAATTTCGATGATGACACTAAGTAGACCAAGTCCAGAAGGAACCCTTATCTGCCTTGAAACGTTCGTTTCTTTGGAAACGTTCTGAAACCCAAAATCTCAGAGCCTTGGAGTCAGCACTATCTTCATTGTTTTGAAGTTACTTTTATAGTTTGAACGACCACGTTTCCTTGCCCATTAGGCCTTTTTGGTTGCCAAGGTCTGATGTTGCACAATTTTATTGACTGGCATGTTGAAAGGGGCATTGAAGCATCAAATGACTCACTTTGTTCTAAAGTAGAATTGACTTGGCATTTAGTGCGGATGTTGTCACTCAGCACTCCTGACTTGTATTGTGTATATATTTTGAGGACCCTCATTCACGTGGTCCAAATTTATAATAAAATCAGCGTGTCATTTAATTACAGCCCACTACAAAATCAAACGACGCGTCCCTACTTAGTTCCATGTAATTCTACCCCATTGTGGGTTCCTTTTAAGTCATTTTCCTAACCGTTTCGGAAAGGTCCTGCCTTAAGACACACAATTTCCTTGTGGCTTCAACGTGTGCTGTACATCGACCAGGTGAAACCGATGCTGTAATATCGAGGTACAACTAACAAAAAGAACCCACAGTGTGACACAATCGGGCCTCTATGGTGAATAAAGCATTATATAGAATGTGCAGTGAATGCATAGATCGAGCGTTATTTTTGCAGGGAAACCAGTGCCATATTTAATCCCATCAAAATGCTAAATGGAAATTGTTTTAATTTCTAATAATTAAAAATTAAGAAAACTACCTCCACTTATTACCTACCCATTGGGTAGATTAATTTGCTGTCACGTTAATGTTACCACTTGAGTGTTCCAGAAACGATCGAGCCTTTTCACTTTAAAGGGTTTTTGTAGCTGCGAAATTTATATCCTCTGTTGTTTTAATAAAAGATTAAAAGATTGTCTGAAAAATGCCCTGCTCGTAGTCCTTGCCTCCGAATTGACTTTTGAGAATGCAATTTTAATTTAAAAATATGGTGACATGAAGCTAATCAAAAGAACACGCTTTATTTGCATGTTTTCATGAAATCCCCTTGGTTAAGGACTGTGCTCCATCGTGTTCAGTGACACACTACTAGTTGTGATTCATTACCGTCTCAACATAAGCGAATTCGGCAAGACGCAAATCAAAGAAGGGAATGAATGCGAGTTTTGTGTGCGGAACCAGGAAAAGCTTCTATTTTTTGCTATTGTCACTCGGATTTTTTAGGAAATATCTTTAGCCTGTATGGTTTTTCATATTAAATTTATATTTCCTAGGGCAGGATTTGTGGTACGCGTATGCATGTTTAAATATTTTTTCTAAAAATTTCGTATTGAATTATTCAATTTTTACTGGTCTTCCAACAAACCACTTCGTCCACGCTTACTTACCATACTCTCACTGGTAACTTGGGGCATGTTCAATTGAAGGGGCATATGGCGTGTTATTTTAAGTGTTCGAATTTCGGCTAGCATAGCACCTTTTCTCTCATTGTTGACAATTTAATTCAGCTCGTTTAATTTATTTTTAGGCATGACGATGTTTCAGGCTTTCAACTTCCTGCTGCTCATTTTGACTCAGTCGATTCCATCGGGCGCCAGCTCCTTCCCGCTTATAGGTGAGATCCACATCTCTGTCGTTCCTTCGACAGAGTAATTTATTTCATTCCCAGACTTGGGCATTCTGAGGACGTCTAAGCTAGATTGAGTCAACGGCTGTCGCCACAACTTTCTTACAACATAACTATGTGGCCAAGAACTGCTGTTAAACCTGCAGATACAAGTGACGCGTGTGATTATATCGGGAGGTGCTAGTTTATTTGCATTTGTATTTGACAAAAATTAGTGCAAACTCGGGCTGCGTTTCTACTTCGATGACTTGCAAACTTGAATAAAAACTAAAGTATTTTGGTAATTGGCAGATTTTTAGACCTCAAAAAATCTACCTTCTAATTAAAAATTTTCCGCAGTCAGTTTCAGGATGTGGTTTAATCAAACAGGCTTTATGAAAAATCAGAATAGGGTTTTCTTGTACCGTAAACTAGTGAATTCTACTTTGAGTAACATTCAGGCTGGCGAAATAGCAGAGCGCTGATGGGTCATTAAACGTCACAGGCGCCGACTTTTGATGGCAACTGTGTCGATGTGTGTTCCATTTCTGGTATCGTAGGCGACGCTTTTAAACAGGCTACCTCGGTGACAACAAATAGCTAACCCTTCATGCTACTTCTTCGTCCGAAAGGACTATTCAGCTGGGGATAATTTTAATGTGGTGACGATTTCTCTTGCAGTAATAGTATATGCGTCTGTCCAACTCTGCTGTTCTGTGCGATACCCACTAAAAATATCCTAAGATTGCGCCTTGGTTTTGGTGTGTGCGGCTGCTCTTCTGCTGGTCAGATGTCGTCAACGCTTGATGGCGTTGGAAGCAATTAGCACCTTCAATTCCCATCTCCGGGTGCAACCAGAAATCAGTATTTTCACGAAGGGTTGTGCAGTCTTATATAATAGGCCTACCTTTTACGGCTTTTGAGATTTCGATTGCATACCTAAGAAGGGACCCAGATAACTACGCTATTCTTAAAAACCAACTCTGCTTAATGCAGGTTGCTTTTCGCCAGTAGAACTCGTATGTGATTTTAATCCAGTAAAGAACAGTGCATTCTGGAGTGGGAATCATTCTGATGGCTCAAAATCAAGTTTATGTGCTCGCATATATATGGTATGCTAGTGTGCAAAAGCATACCTGCGCGTGTTTAGCGGGAATTTCGGTGGCGTGTGAACAAGCATAAATGCTGCTTTGGTTTTTTTATTTACAGCTAATGTGACTGGCTGTAATGCGCTCCATAATTTGCCCCCCGAAGACCTGCTGTGACAATTTTACGATATTTCATAATTTAATTCCTTTTTTAAGTGCGCGCAGACTCGCTCAAAGTGGGTATGGCTTCAATGAGCCTTCTGCGACAGAATTTTAAACCGCATTACCTCTAAACATGTGAGGTAATTAAAATCCTTAACATTAGAATTTAGAAGGTCGGTAAAATTTTGACCGACGATCTACGGCGGGCAAAAAGCAGGGCGTTCACATTTATTCGAGTGAAGTTTATGTCTCCCAATGCAGGGTTTCTTCTGGCATTCAACTGTAAATGTAGCATTTAAGGGGAAACAGGTCTAGCTGGCACTCGTCGCTAGATAGCATGCTTTTAAATGTACAGAGAATCCAGTCATCCACTACACAAAATTGGGATCTCTGAATGGCTGACCAGAGTGAGCATTCACTGCAGCAGCACCTCGTGCTTGGCCTTCCTGCGAATCCTTAATGTCTAATCCCGACCACTGAGAGGCTTTCAAGTTGTTTGCGATGCCATTGCCGAGGCCTAGCTAGAGCACCGTAATTGCTCCTATTTTCGCCTTGAAACAACTGACCCGTGTATTTCTGTGAACGGGAGGCTAGCCAGGCTCCTCTAATTTCGCGCACTAAAACCCCAGAGGGGTTGTTTTAGCCTTCATCATACTTTCTCGTGGCGTAGGGATGTTTTATTCCCTGTCACAATAAAACCCGCGCCTAGACTGCAGTCTATAAGCGTCTGCGAATTTCGAATACCACGCAAGTGGATAATTGCAGGACTAAAAATTGCCTGGCAAACCTCATGACCGATGTGTCTGTTCTTCTTCCTATTCGAGGAAAGATGCTTATGAAGCCGTAATACAATAACACAAGGTAAGATAACACCAGCTCAATCTCTCAGAACCCACAAGTAACCTTAGGATTGATATTAACCAAAAAGGTCAAGTGAAATATGCAATTTTTTTGTTAGTGGGCGGAAATTATGCCTGTCTATTACTTCACACAGACGCAAGGCCTTAAACCACGAAGGTTGATTCTTTTAAAAAAAACTTGAAAAAACGACTTTTTATTTCAACTTACATTTAACTTCCTAAATAACCACGGTTTTTGGAGGCCACCAAATCACCAAAAGTACATACGACCCAATTCCAGCTACAAAATGCCATGTTTCGTGAAGGATATTTCTTATACTGAAATCACTGACACTTCATGGACCAAATCGTCCGGTTTTTTGTATGGTCTGTAATTGTTGTGGAGGAGGACGTATCAACGCCCATCGGTGTTGCGGGGTCCACTTCCACAAGTCCTTAGCACATTTTCAGAGTTTCACGGAGTTATGACTCATCAGTTAGTGGTCTTCTGAGCCTCAAAGGCTAATTCTGAGTGGAGCTCACAAAAGACTGACCTTGGCGCGTGTCTTTGACGCTATCCCGTACAACGTGCTGTCACAATGGCATTGCCTTCGTAGAGGTGATCCAAATGTCTGCGACTCTCCTCGCTTGGGTTTGATGCTGGTCGGTGCCTTTGTATAAGACGCACTTCAACTGGCCCATTAATCATTTGTTAGCCATGAGCAAATTGGGTCTAGATTCCATTATTTGACTCAAGATCAAATTCTCATGTATTGAGCCGTTAGATGATGAACTCAAATGATATGAAATCAGTAGCCAAGTTAAATGGTTTGGTTTTAAATATGAAATTAGAAATTGAATTTAATCAATATCGAAATGCGGTTCTATCTTAGGCGACATCCGAATCCTCGAGTTCTGTGTCATAAAGATACACAGGCGGCACGTGGAAATTCGTTAAGGTGTACAATTTGATTTAACAATGCAGACAACAATGGACCCACTCTTTAGTTGGTGCATTAACGGCACTGCAGTGGAATACCTAGGTCGATTTGCTGTCTGATTCAAGGCATCAATAATAATTTGTGTGTCCTTGTCTTATTTCGTCGTTCGTTTGTGGCGAGCTTGGTCTGAGTCCCGTGCTGAAAGATATCGCCCTTTCATCAACAGAAAAAAGCTTAATTTAATAGCCCTTTTCCTCTTTAGGTACCTATTACTGTATCAACATGTTTTTGGTGACGCTGTCGACTTTCCTCTGCCTAATTGTTGTGAACTGTCATTTCCGTGGTGACAGCCAATCTGAAGTGCCACGATGGGCCAAAAAGGTAAGCTCTCGTCTTGGTTAAAGTAAAATCATTCCTTTTTTGTGACTGGTCCTTTTTTGAGAAGGGTTTTGAAAAGACTGATCGGCAGCCGCTTTTGTCAATCAGGAAATCAAACAGTTTCAGAAATAACTTTATTTAGTTGCACATCTTAGCGAAAACCTAGTTGAATGTAGCTTCTCTACAACGGTTTTCTAGAACAGGCATTGCCTTCAACTATAATGTTGCCAATTGCAAACGATGGTTTGCTTGCTGAAAGAAGACTCTAATAAAAAGAGACATGATTTCAAATAGCTGAAAATGAGCTTGACGATGATATACGACCTTCTTTAAAATGTATTTAAAACTGATGTTGGCGCCCATCGGCTCTGTTGATTGACAAACTTTACTGGGAATTCTTTGTAAACAACTGATCTTAAAACTGATATATTGCATTTAGGTTTTCATCCAATACGGTGCTCGCCTCTTTTTCATTAACTCCCCATCGACGCAGGCCGCTTCATCGAATTCGACGTCCTCGAAGGCGAAGAACAGCGGAGGAGTTGGCAGTGGGGGAAGCAGTAGGTCACGGCGCGTTGCTGACGCGGCGTTAGCCGAGGCGGCACACGCCGACAAAATGATGCGCTCAGCCGCCATTGCCTATCGATCAGCCTGCCAGACGCCTCCGTCTCAGACAGGGCGCATTCACATGCGAGACACCTTCAGAGGTAGGTCAAGGGCACCCACAGTCCACACAAGTGCAAAGTCATGTTCACACACGTGGCTGTAATATCACAAAACGATTAGGGAAACGCCACTCGCACACGTGGCTGTATCAAGCCCAAAAAACTGCACGGGTTTTATTTGAGGCCCCAAACTTTTTTTTGCCTGTAAATTAACTCGTCTACTCGATTTTTAAAGTCATTGGATTAACAACAACTTGCAAGTGTATTGCTTTGTTGTCCCAAATTTGTGTCTTTATGATGATGATACCAACGCCTGAAATTGCTGTTTTATTGCCTTAACACTAATTAACTTTAGTTGGCTTCCTCATCGCTGAAATATGGGACCATTTTACCTCCAACTTCCAACCGCATCCTTCTGAATTATGTTCTGACTCATCAGTACATTGATTTGCATCTCTCAACGGCTTTATTAACTTCATACATAATTTATATTCGCTTCAAAGATTCCCGATAGCCTTAACAATGCTTGTCACTTTTGGTTGACAGCATGACGCTATTTAGACATAATGATCGTTAAATTCTACCGACCATTTATGGGCATTTTTGTCAATAACCCGCACCTACTCGCGTTATCTCGAAAGACACGTTAACATGGCATTTTTTGTAATTTATTTTTACTAAACTTGCTCCCCAGATATTCAAAGGTCACATTTTTGAAAATATTTAGTTGACAAGCGCTTTGTTCGATTTTCCTAGATCTACATTGGCATGTTTTTCGTGAAAAACCAGCCCACCTGGCTGGTGGGAACTTGAGTAAATCACCGTGGCCTTCGAAAACATCCTTATGTTTTCTTTTTTGGAAAACGACAGATCAAGCTTGCTCCCAAGAACGAGTGTCGCTGTGGTGGCGGGTCGGTGTTATTGCTGTCATGATCTAGGCATTTGGCGGATCAATTTTGGTCAAATCGCATCCTCCAATCAGTGCTTTTTAGGACACGCTTTCATTGTTCCCTTACAAACACCTTGAGGCTTCTTCATTATTTAGTGGGAGATTTTTTTCCTCGAGCTGATCAATCGAGGACGAACATTTGCCTTTTCTGTCATTGGGCCTCAGAAAACAGGACTAGGTTTTGCCTTTGCCTATTTAGGTGATGTCTCGGTTCCTTGTCGGTTCAGTACACAAACGCTTCTGGGGAAATGTCAACTTGCTTTCAAAATGATTGTAAAGTTATGCTGATTACTAACTTGGCAAACAGGCGCAGCCGCTGGTAATTCACGATGCTTCCGAGGCATTATTTTCAATGTGACATTTAGTAGAGTGGATATCTACACAGCATAAAGGAACTGGGCTATTTCTGCTCGCGTGTACTGCGCAATAGCAAATGTTGAAGCTAATCTTTCTTTCCTGGCTTACTTTATTTGTGTCATGTCACGCTAGCTGCGCAGTCACAGTTATTTTACCAATGGACACTAGGCCTTATCTCTTTCCCCGATCTTAATATAACTTGACAGTTGGTGTCTTGGAATTTACTGAGATGCAATTATTCATCTAGCATTAAATGACATCATTGTGTAAACGAGTCTTGCACGAAATTGGTGGACTTTTTTAAAGCAGTGCAGCTCATTCCAAATGCCATCACTACGCCATTGTTACTCACGAATTTAAAGATGACACCAGAGAACCAGCCGATCGACTAAGTTGCTTATCACATCAAAAGCATTGTTGTTAGATTACCATGAGAGTGGATATGGATGGATAATAATCGAACTTGTTCTAATCACTGCTGGTGTTGCTTGCGCCCCCTTCATTGCATGTGCTCTGGCCGAAGTATCTGCCTGTCTGCCCACTAATCGCACGCGTGCTCAGGCCTGTCCGTCCAACGATCGCAGGTTTTAATTTATTAGCATCGATCGCCCTCGTGATCGTCCTCTAGATCACGTGGTAACTATTTTTAAATGTGATTTCCACTGTCCTCAACCTCGTTTCTGGCCAACATTCTCTTCTTGCAACAATCGAATAGCTCAAGTTCACTCGTGGAGGGCCTGCAGCCACTTTAGTGTGTATTGCACCCAAGCGACTATCTCAATTGGCCGTCAGGGTTCCGCTCGCATTCGTTACGAAATTCGCCAATTATTGCACCACAAATGAGGGGAGGGCAGTATAACACACAATTGCTATAAATATGGGTCATGCCACAGATGGTATTTTAGCCGTATGTGGGAAACAATAAATGCGCACAGCAAATGCTGATTTATCAGGCCATGATGCTGGAAGTATATACTTGTTGGAAATAATCAAGACTTTATCTACATAGTTATGTATTAATTTATGAACATGGCGCCAGGAGGAAACCCTTCTGCTAAAAACAACAGACCGCACTATAGAGCAGCATGGAGTTTTTGTTGACTGGAGTTTCCTACTCTACATTTTGTGTGGAAGATTTTGGTCTTTATTTGTTTTTTTTCGTGTCGGATATTCACACACAAAACTACTGCGCGTTCAGATGTGGACTCACAACTAAATTACCAGAAATTCGCCTGGACCACTAGCGTGTCACACAGTTGTCCTAGCAATGCTTTACTGCATCAGCACTTCCTGAGCTAATACTTTTATTTAGGACGTTTGATAAATTTCACACGGCTCAGCGTTTGCTGGGTTTAAACAGCGGCAAGCAGCTTCAGTGTGTCTCGCTTTGGCTGTGTTCGGCGTTGTCACGTGCTCGGGACCCGCCTAATGTAACTCAAGTGCGGGCCGTGAACGTGCACTAGCATGGGCTCCATAACTGAGTTTACCTAAAGCATGGTTGGCAGCTTAGAAAACGGGCTGACCACCGTTTAGTTGAAAAATCGAATTTATCGAAATAATGAGTCATAAACTTGGTCAGGTCGGACGAATGTTTGATAGTGCCAAATTAGTCAAATGACGTATGCAGCTTGTTGTATTTCTGCTGAATTCTCTGTCAATGATTATTTTCATGTCTAAATTCTACATACTTAAATTAACCTTGTTGTAAATCGCACTTTTCCGGCCATGCTTTATGAAGGTGGAAGGCCAGCCATCGCCGCACCGATTTGTTTGCTGTTACCTTTACTTATGGTCCGTACGGCTACTTCGGCGACTTGCCTGCGAGTTATTTTTAGTTAATCCGAAAATGTGAATCTGTAAAAACCCTAAGTAAAGTGTTACACTAGACGAACTCTTCACTGTTTTAGGAGGGTGCAGTTGTGAGGTCGTGGGACGTACTGGTGGCGGGTGTTGTTCGGCGGCCCGCGAGAACTCGTTTTGCCCACCCGTCCCCCCCCTTTGCCCTGAGTGCCAACAGCAGTCGGTGACTGACACCTACTGTCAGCAGTGGCCACCTCACCACAGTCATCATTGTCAGACATCACACGTGGCAAATCACACCCGCATCGACTGTTCGTGTGACGAGTGCAACACCTCCTACCGAGAACGGGAACCACCCAGCCGCCTGCCGCCACCATCCTTCCAACGAACTGCTCAACCCAAATCCCCATTTGCTGAGGATGAGGCGGCCAATAGCCAGAACTGTCCGGCGTGCGCTGGTCTCGCTGCGGCATCACAAGACGGCGGACTGACCGACTCGAGCTATAACGAGCCTCAATATTCGTCTAAGGACCCCGATGCAGCTCTGGCCGATGTTTGGGCTTCAGCCGCACACCACAGAAGTGGACGGTACACGTGCACAATTCCTCCCCCTATCTCCTCCCGTCCGAATTACTACAATGCAGAAAACCTGCTGGTTGAGTGCATTAGTGGGGAAGACACGTGCGGTGGTAGCCCATTCCTCTACGCTCCCGAGTGCGCCCAGTGTCGGCAGTGCGATGCGGAGCGTTATGCCGCGGGTGCCGGGTGCAAGCCGGATGCTAGGGTGTTGAGAAGGGTAGCGACTGTGACACGCGATATTGCGGAGATTGTTAGAGGCATCAGGTACTTTCAACGCAAAAATGAAGAAAAGGAGCGTGTTCAGAAGATAGTAAATGAATGGCGAACGGTTGGCGGAGTGCTTGACCGTCTCTTTTTCATATGCTACGTGTTCGCAATAAGCATTTCGATCATCCTCTACTTCCCAAGACCTGCGGGCAGTGGATAGAATGCCTATGCGATTTTCACTAGTCTTCGAATTCCGCTTATGCCTTATGAATATGTAAAAACAAAACCTCGACCGCCCCCATTCACAGCTATTTTGATCGACGGGCCTTAACCTTCGTCGGGCGAACCTACTTAAAACAGTAGTCACGCTTTCTAGCTCTGACAGGACTCCTTGGGGTGAAACCTTTTGCAATTTGAGTGCTGTCAATCTGAGCTCATCCCTTATAGTTAGATGCACAAACCTTTTTACCTTATCTTTGTCCTATAGAAGTGACGACTCATTGCAACTAGAGATTCCGATAATAAAGTTGAGAATGATAAAACAACTTTTTTATTATTGCATAAGCAAGGTTTGTTTGTTATAGTCCGGATAAGCTGCTATGTCGCGCGTTCTTAAGTACACTTAAAATCTAGAAACCTCGTAGTTCCTTTTCGCCATGGCCTTACGTTGGGAAAATCATGTCTCAATAAACAAACCGAGACAAGGGGGCGAGATTTAAACTATACACGACTCCATGCCTGAATGTACAAGTTATCCGGATACTCACGTTCCCAAAAAAGTTAAAATTTCAAAACGTGGTCTACTTTTCGGCTCCGATGTTGGTACCCACTGCCGCCCAGTTGAGAAGAGAGATCATTAGCTCGAGTCTAAATTTTATTTAGTTAAAGCAGCAATTAAATTTTTGGTACACTTTAAAAAAAAGAATTGTTTTGTTAACGGCTACCTTAAGTTACAACGGATGCAGATATGCGGCCAGATGTAGCTGGTTCACATAAACACTCACACAAACGCACACACACACACACCGCATACCAATTATTGGCTCTCGACGTTGCGTAAAGTCCGGACATTCCCCAATCACAGTGGCGCATCCGTCTGTCTTGACTTACGCAAATCCCAAAAGCTAATTGTGGATCATTGAACGGCCGTAACCCTTCTCTCATTGTTAGTCATTTAAACTTCGGAAAGCCACAAGGCAAGCTGACAAATGTGACTTCTGAGCCTTCATTAAACCCTAAAAACCTATGTGGCAGATCAATGCTTTTGCACAAAGACCGCGAAATTAATAATTTAACCTCAGCAACTTGTGACTCGAAATGAAGTACGATATTTTACGTAATGTTGATTGGTAAAATTAGGACTCTCGCCTACTCAACGTAAAAAATGTAACAGTTAGGGATCATCTTCCATGCGCTCTCGGCTCTTTCCTATACTTCCTCTTTTTAATTATCGTTTCTGCCAAACGATAATGCAGTTTTGAATAAATCGTCAATGTTTGCTTGAGCAGCCATAATTCACAGTTTCTATGGCACTTCATTTAGGAGCCTCTTTGTGCTAACATAGTTATGAGCTGGTGCGACAGTTCACAAAGGTTGGGTAACTAAATGCAGCATTTACGTCCACATTAACCGTGGGTGGTCCCCAGTGCGTTTCGTTTGGTTTAAACCTAAGGTACGAAGAGACCCACATTGCTCAAATCACAACTCCTTAAAAAATCCAAAATGCATTAGGAAACACTAGGGTAGGGGTAATGAATTTTACTGTGTGGTAAGATTTCGCATTTAAAACCACTGGCAGAAAACGCGAAATATAAATTCAGCAGACTGGACATCTGTGAATATCTGATTTCCTCATACTTCCGACCCTCAAGTCGGTTTAATGCAGATCTAAACAGTCACGGCTACCGAGGGAAACTGCAGCCGAAGTCACTGTCTTACTAGAGCCAGTACCTGTTGGAAACCGAACTCAGCACACAATCGACCCGCGGGTACAAAACATGCTTGCGGAAGCAACTTGAGGGCGTTTAATTTGGTGGGTGGTCTCCACTTGAACATGCTCCTTTTGGTTAATGCTTACAGGACTGGAGACCCCATACTAGGCCTATCCGCAGCTAAGTTTTCGCCAAACCAAACGAATTTCATTGGGTCTTTCCAAAACCCCGATTCACCACTCAAGGTGCAGGCGGGAACCGATGTGTCTTCAAAGACGTGGAGCATGAGGTCGCCATTCTCGATGTGGCTCCGAACAGGGACAATTCAATCTTGGATTAAATGGGAGCACGGGAGACCACACACTGTTCGTCGTCATGTAAACGCCGGCTAACCTCTTCAAAGCCCATTCGCGTCACCTGCTCGTCGACCCAGTTGGTCTAAATTGACCAGAAGTGTCTTCACGTTATTACTGGCGTAGTGTTGCCAACACTTATGCGGGCCTTCAATCTCGGGGAGGGCAGCTGCTGGTTAGAAAGCAGGGGTCTTTTCGACGTCACTGATGTGCTCTCAAATTTCTAGTGTGAAGCGGCAAGGTTTGAAGGTTGTTTCCTTAATAACTGGCAAATGCGGCTTCAAAGGAGCCTCAAGCTTTTGACTTTTCTACGTGCGCAGCAAATTATTGTTTATTCTCTCATGCTTGAAGCAAGCGTATTTAGATCGTTTATTTTCAAATGCAAACTTAGAAGCTCTAGAACTTCATTCCTATTCGACAGATTTTCGGGGATTTAACACACCTTTGCTCTTGCGATTTGCCAAGAATTCACTTGAACTACGACCGTATTGATTAGTCCTCATTTCGGTGCTTTGCCTTAGGATAACAGGCTGATTGTGATTTTATACGCCTAATTAAACGCGCTACTTAAAAAGATGAGTAGAATTTGAAAATTTTGCCTTAGTTTGCAAGGGCAATGAGTGAACGGTGATGAAAGAAAATGGCATCGTCAAATAAAGTTACTGTATGCAATGCGATGAAGAGTACGCAGGTATGACATCGCACGACTTTAGGCGGAATGAATATAACCGAGGAACTTGCTATTATTAACATGGTGTCAATATGATTTCTATTGGTCTTTATAAAAAAGTTACAATTTCACTTAAGTCGATGTGAAAACATTACAAAAATTTAAGAATTCTTTGCTAAAATAATGTCTTTAAGCTAACCTTGGAAAGCATGTTAATGCAAAGAAATGTTTCCTGGCTCATAGATTCCGAATTCACTGGAGAGTAGCCAATTTGATTTTACACAAACTGCTTTGGTCGCTTTTAATGACTTCTGTCAATGTTAAAATTATTTGGCATCAGAAAGATGGCACTTATGTTTAAAAGGGACATGGAGGAAAATTTTAGTTTGGAGTCAATTTTTACACAAATTGCACAAAAATGAACACTCATAAAATTCCAAATTTTTTCAATGAAAGTAAGTGAGCCAGCTAAAGGACAATTTACTCACCGCCTGGCGACGAACACTTGGTCGTCTACAAAAACATCGAGGCGTGATGAACCAACCCCAACTCCACTGAAACCTAAGCTTCACTTAAATGTTAAAAAAACCGAAGTTCACTGCCGTAAGCTGATTAATTCGAATTGGTTAGCGAAGAAGAGTGGTCAGGAGTGGCTAATCTCGAGGACTGGCGTTCCACCGAGGCAGCGCAGGGCCTCGCGCACGCTAGCTCGGCAACTCGTGACAAAGTGCTACAAACTTGTTTCAAAAGCTCTGTTGAATCCCTCACTCCTTGGCCTCGCATCGTCAGACTAACATTTGCACCCGTAGAGTATTGACAATACTTTCAATACTGCAGAGTCTTGAAGTTGATTTGAGCTAATTACTTGTGGAGTGAATTGAGTTTTATTTGTATCAGGCTGTAGAAATTATTTTTTTGTTAACACAATAATGCACATTCGTACTTTACTAATCATAGTAAGCTCATTTATCTTTTTTCCTGTTCTAAATCAATTACTTATTTGAAGAACATGAGAGACAGTTAAAACAACCAATTCATTCAATTCCTAATTGTGAAAATCTCAAACTACCTGTGCAACGTTTTGCTGGAAAACTAATTAGTATTCAATAATACAGCAGCTTGTAATAAATCAGTTGTGATTGGTATCACAGGCACCATAAATGACGTAATAAACAAATTTTGAAGGAAATATCCTGCAAGGATCGGACATTTCGTTTTCTAATACGAACGGATCTCACTAGGTAAAGGAAAAATGAATCACGGGCGATAGATGTCAATTTTGAAATGCGAACTTATTTAATACACAAATTACCACTATTGAGTCAGTTATTTACGCATCTTCAAAATTACCTTGCTCATTTTACTTATTTTGAATCGTGTTTATGCACACTCCTTAATACGGCCTCTCCAACCTTCTAAAAAGGGATCATCGTTTCGCAGCATGTCGTCAGCCGCGCGGATCCTCAACTCCCCTCTCAATCACACGGATATTTATTTTGGATTATCTTCACACCTAGGTCTCGATGTCAGCGCATCTATGACTAACGAATCTGAGGTATAAATGCACACGCGCGAACTCCATGCACGACACAACTACACCAACTTAGTTTGGCTCTGAAGTAAACGGCTTTTTCCACGTCCTCCCCGGTCTTCCTCTTCATCGTGGGTAGCTGGGGCCCATAACAATTGGTGACTCCGACGTGATGAAAAGGTCCTTGAATCCCACAACATACTACTACTGCGTCTTCTGTCTCTGCTTTGCACTCATTCGGTGTCTTCAGTTTGCACCACAATTGTTTTGCTAATTAAACTAAAAATTACTTCCCGTTAATTGCGTAGAAAAATTATCACGATTTATTTCTTTCGTTTGCACCAAAAATTGTGACCGTGGCCCCTTGACGGCACCCCTCAAGTCTGCCAGCTTTAAGTAAACAAATACCCTATTTATATTCTTTTAGGAGAAAAAAGATAAACTCGGAAAACATGGGCATGGAAAGGAGCATCTACACAACACTCAAAATTTAAATATTTTTAGCAAACCCACCTGCGATTATTGTGACCCCGGTATGTCTAACTCGATTCACAAGACCTTTGAAGTCTACAGCAAACAATTACTGCGCGAAATACTGGACTGCGGTAAAACGTTGATGTCTAGTGCACAAAAAGACCACCCAATCAAACCCAGCTGCAAAAGACTGCATGAATTTTCTTTCAAAAATTGGCTTTTCGAGAATGGCTGGAACCGGCAGTCATTGTAGTCTCGATA